TTTGATTCCCCTACTCCCTTCCCCTGAAATTTGCTCATTTATACCAATAAAGAATTCAGTGGGTGCAGGATTGATCTATCAGCCATTTTCAAATTGCAATTAAGTTTTTTGGACTTCTAAAATTTCTGTTCAATGATATCACATATGTTTTAATATTTTGGATGAAAAAAAGGAAATGAGATGTCCTTGTCAGTGAATCATTCATTGATCATATGGGCATATAATTCTCCATTAAGAAGTATGTGCCGGAACAGATCCAAAGAAAAAACAGTGGTCATACGTGTGACAATAATAAGTCTAGCTTTAGAGTTGCAGTAGCCTTCCACGTGCCAAGCAATGAGCTTTTCATGCATCTTGATCATTGAGACTGTCATGTGTGGTCTCATTAATTCACACCACACTAACCCTCCAATGTAAGTGTTGTTATGCATCATCATGGGGTAAACATAGCAGGAATTTTTCTGACTATACTCCAAAAAGAGATTTTAGCCATTAGTTCATCACAATCTAATAGCTAAACTTATTTCTAATGGTTTACATATTTACAGCCCCAAGAAGTCTATACTTCAGCACTTCAATCTATAACCACAGTAACTCTCTGCTCTCTATAAGCAAAGACTGCCATCTTGTGGAAATTGCATACCAAACAAACATTGTTATTCCATAAACTCAAAAGTTTTTCTTGTATTTATTAAGAATTTTGTAACTGGATTTTTGCATTGTCATACATATGCGCATGCGCACACACACACATTATTGTTGCTTATAATTACAAGGTACAATTCTCCTTTAGGTGATTTTTCAAGTTCAATTTAAAAGGGCCAGTGCTTTGGAAAGATTGAAGAGAACATATCTCTTTGTTTATTATAAAAATTAATCCTGTTCGCCTTCCAGGCAGTGCATTATATTTTACCACACTTGCTTTACCTAATCTTTAAATTGGGTTTTTGTTAAATCATAAAAAGGAGGCCATGGTGAGACTGTTCTGATGGAATTTCCAGGAGCACTACATTTTGTAGCAAAATGTTATGACAGAACTCTGGACTTAGAAAACACTTTCATTCCCTTCCAACACTTGTAGCCCATGCCAGCCTGTATTCCTGGAATCTGTTGTCGGGGTGACTGAGGGGTCATATGGTCCAATTGCTCTGTACATCCCCAAAGATGAAATCTCCCTGCAATGCCCCAGCCACTTGTGCTGCTGTGAGCATAAAATAAACCATACAAAGAGACTTTTGTGGCATAGTGATACTTGAGGCACCTAGAGAGGGTGCTTCCTTCTTTCCCCTCGGTGATCTCCTATCGCTCAGCTGGCTGAACCTAAAAATTCTGCAATTAAATGATTTTTTTTGTTTGTTTAAGGCTTTTAATTCCTATTAGAATTGAAATAGGTGAGGTATAATATATATAAAATATATATGATGCATATATATGATGCATATATATATATACTCTTCAATAATTATTTCTAAAGTCAAAATATTTTCCAGGTTTAGAAAGAATAAGGAGAGAAAAGTAAATACGTGAAATGCAAGAGCCCCAAATACCACTGAGAAGAAAGTGCAGGCAGTAAATCAGTTCCTGAATGAAGGAATGAATGAACATGAACTGAGGGCATTAAAAAAATGGCTTCACAGTGTCACTCAAGCCACTCGGATGGAATGTGCAGTCGTGGTTTAGAATAAATTTTGTACCCAAGGAAATGTCTGGAATGAAGTCATTCTTCAACTGTTTATTAAATAGATAGATGAATAAAACAGGAATGGAATAAATTAGAAAACAGTATCAGTCGTAAGAAAAAAGAATAGGATCTGAGATCAGAGTTTAGGATTTATGTACCAAAAACTGTGTTAAGTATATTCCATCAGTAAATATGCACCTGCTCTGTAGTAGGCAATATGGAGGATGATGAATACACACTCTAGAAAATGGAACAGACTAATCAAGTAATTATAAATAATGGTAAGTGCTATGAAAGAAAATTCTTACACTTTCACAGTGTATTAGTTCATTCTCTCACTGAAAGAAATACCCAAGACTGGATAATTTATAAAGAAAGAAGTTTAATTGACTCACAGTTCCCCATGGCTGAGGAGGCCTCAGGAAACTTACAGTCATGGTGAAAGGCACCTCTTCACAAGGCAGCAGGAGAGAGAATGAATGCCGAGCAAAGGGAAAGCCCCTTATAAAACCATCAGATCTCATGAGACTCACTCAGTATCACAAGAACGGCATGAGGGAAACCACCCCTATGATTCAATTATCTCCACCCAGTCCTGCACTTGACACGTGGAGATTATTACAAGGTGAGATGCGTATGGGGACAGAGAGTCAGACCATATCACACAACTATTGACCAATATGGTGTGATGCAAATAGGAGAGCAGGGAAATGGGATCTCATTTTGTGCCCAGCTGTATTATCATTAAGCAAATGTTGCTGTGGTTGCCTCTTATATCTACAAGTACTTATAAACTCAAATTTAAGAAGAATTATTTGTTCAAAGATGATTAAATTTTTCCTCCAACGTATTCAATGGTGCTCTGACTACCTAGAGCCTTTAAGGAATGTGCCATTATTTTTTATTATTACAGTAAGAATGCTTAACATGGGTGCTATTCTATTAACAAAATTTTTAATGTACAGTACAGTATTGTTAACTATAGGTACAATGTTGTACAGTAGTTTTCTAGAACTTTTCCCTCTTGCATAACTGAAGCTTTATACTTATCGATTAGCAATGCCAACATCATTTAAATGATATTCATTTAAATAGGCCAAGAAAGTAATTTTGATCCATGATTACATCTTTGTGTGTTGCCTAACACAGTGCTAGAAATTTCTACAAGTAGTTGCTTCTTTGGATCAAGAGATTGTTTCTCATGTATATTTCTTAAACCTGTTACTTGGAGAGCAAAATGAGGGAAGGGGAATGAAAGTCATAAGTTTGGGAAATGCTGAATTAAACAAAATCATGAAGTTTTCTTTTCTGCTGGTCTTCTGAGAGTCTTTAATAGGCTGACATCTTTGTAAATTTCCAAGAGTGTGTTTCCTGGAATTAATAACCACAAGGCCCTTTTTCTTTTTACAGAGGCTTTCTAGGTACTGGTTTGCTGTGAAATGCACTTTTGGAAATTCTGGAAATGCAAATGGCTTTTTCTGGAATGGAAGCTGAAATAAGGGTGACATATAACCCATTAATATTTATAATCATTTTGGTAAATTCAGTTAATCAAATGAGTTGCTCTTCTAGAGCAACACTCTAGACAGATACATTTCATAGGAAGCAAGGAGAAAAGGTCCAGGTTGCGGGGGAGGTTTCAGTACAGTCTCAGTCCTGGAGTGCTGGCACAGGGCACCAGAGCTGAGGCTGTGGGAACGTCTGGCAGAGATGACAGGGACGTGAGACCAACCCTCCACCAGAGCCGTGAGGGCTGGTCTCACTCTTGTTTAACTCAGATTCAACACTGACCCCACTTCCAATGCCCAGAATCTTCTTTCCTCTATCATGTTGCTTGTTCTTCTAGCCACATGGATGACATGAAACAGGTAAAAAGGTCACTGAAACTCCATTCTTCTCTCTTAAGTTTTAATCAGTCTCACCCAAAATAATCCAAGACCTTGGGCAAGAGTACAAATGTAGGTTCACATACCCTAAGTCTAGACATGTAAAAATTACACATTAAACTGAAACCCGTTAGATATAATATATTCTATGTTTTTATCTGGACAAATATACCTTCATAACCCCTAGGAGGCCAGGTTCAGGTTTGTATGTGACTAGCCAGGAGGTCTGCACTGACCCAGGAGCACAGGGCTCTGGGGCCCTCTCTTTCCACCTGCAGCTCCATCTTGCACACTGAAGTGTCTCCTACCCAAGGCTTTCTGCACCTGAGCTCACTCATCTGAGCTCTGTCCACACTCTCTACAAACTCTACCCTATAGAACTATGGTGTACCCATGGATGTAAGAGCTTCTGCCAGGAGGACAACCCTGGGAATAGGCCTAGCAGGCCCTGGAAGCACTAAGCTGTTTGACCAGGGAATTCCAGGGAACCCAGAGGACGATGCACACTCTGAGCAGGCACACAGCCTTGGCCTGGTCTTCCTTACCCTGTGAAAAAGGGCATAGCTGGAGGAGGGCCACAGCTAGGCTGGCCTCAGGTAGAGCCTAAGAAGCACTGGGAATTGAGAATAATTCCTGTATGAAAAAACATGCTTTAAAAAGCTGCAGTCTGCAGCTACCCTCAGACTCTGGGGAGGGGAAAAAGAAGAAGCAGAAGAAAAAGAAGAGGGTTTTTCCTATTTGAATTTAACTACTTCTGAAAGCCTCTGGTCAGCTTTCTTCTTGTTTTCCAAGGTAAGATTACTTCCCCTTTGGCATTAAAAAGGAAACTAGATGAGTTGTGCGAAAAACCAAAAGAGATGGATTTTATCAACTTGAAACTTGTCCCAAGGCTTTCTCTCACACTGTGTTAAATAATAGGTCTTCTTAATTGAATTTCTTTGTGTGTAGCATATGCTGGGTGACATTATGCCAGCATCTTGCTCTAAGCAGCAAAACGTTCTTCATAAAAGCATTAAGATCCAGAGTATCATTCTGGATGCAGGAAAGGGACACAGAACTGCAGCAACTTGAAAGTGTATAAAAACAGTGCCTCTGAAATATGATTGTAAAAACACACTGCAGCAAACCAGGAGGAAAATATTTAGAATTACAGGATGGAACCAGAAGAAGAAGAATAGAAAGAAAAGCAGAGAGGAAGCTGGGAGGGCGGGATGGGTGAAGAGAGAGAGGAAAGCATTGTGGTGCAATGCTGTCTGTAGAATCAACGCAATGATGACTTTCCATTTCCTAGCACTCCATCTACAAGCAGATCTATATATTCATTTCCCCTTGACAGCCACCATCCTACAGAGGTGGGATTATAAATGGATGTGTTGTGAACAAGGGCAATAACTATGTCTGTAATAACACACGCTTATGTTCTTTATCCCAAGGATCCTGGAGCTTCAGCAGAATGGTGACATGGACATCCTGAAGCACAAATGGTGGCCTAAGAATGGCCAGTGTGACCTGTACTCCTCAGTGGACACAAAGCAGAAAGGAGGCGCCCTGGACATAAAGAGCTTTGCAGGCGTCTTTTGTATCCTGGCTGCTGGAATTGTCCTCTCCTGCTTCATAGCCATGCTGGAGACGTGGTGGAACAAGAGGAAAGGCTCCCGGGTTCCATCAAAAGAGGTACTTGATTGAGAGCTTTGGCTCTAAATTAAATCAACAAGCAGGCTGTATTTCCAGGGAGGACGAACCCAGGGAGGATAATGGGTTGGGGGTGGTCCTTGTTTCTTCTTTGAAAATTAAAAATAAAGTTGTGAAATATAAAAATTGGTAAGATCAATATCAATTTCCATTTTAGGCTATCCCTAGATCAGTAAAGAGGAGACTATAGTGTTTGAAAGACTTAGAATTTCATATACCATAATGGGCTTTGAAATTCTCTCAAATCTCAGAATAGATTTTAATTCAATGATTTTTAAAGGCCATGCATGATTCCTTTGACCAGTTCACAGAGATACTTACCACTTTATTTCACTTAGGTGTTTAACTTGTAAGTAAATTCCTTGTGTCTCTAAGATTAGCCCCCCAAAAATACAATACTATAATAAAAATGATCCGAATTTTCTCTTCACCACTAGACTGCCTCCTTCTCTACTCATGTAGATTGACAGAAGCTCTTCGATGGCCCCAAGCTTATCAAATCCAAAATCCACATCATGGAAACATCCAAATTTCAATTTTTCTCCTTTACTCTGGAGCCAGCTTAACATCAGGGCCATATTAAATTTTATCTCGCTATCTGAAAGAATAATTACAGAATTACACATATCTCTCTTGTAGTGGCCTGAGTGTTGTTTTCATCATGAAGTATAAGACTTATAAATTAAAGAAAATCTGAAGTTAAATCTTGATTCATTTATCTTATTTCCATTGGACCAATGAGGTGAAAATGTTTTAACTAATGAGGTCATATTCACTAAAGCTTCACAAATTGAAACAAAAACCAATCTGAATTTGCTAAACGATTTGATTTGATGGATAGCTTCAAAGAAAGTTTTAAACTTTCTATAGCTAGAACTTGGCTGACTAACTGATGCCTGAGGCGAATCCTGAAAGGATCTGCTTTAATGCACAATAAATACGACTTCTCATTTGCATATGAATTGTTGCATGTTAATGTATTTTTTTCAAACAGGGTGATTTCAAAAGTAGTGTAAGGATTCCTTCTTATCACCTTATATGCAAAATTGATCAGCATCATTTATAAGGAAAAGCTTGGCTTTAGCGAAGACGAATTTTAGCTTCCTACCTGTGTGAATGAGCATACATTCTAAATATTTGAAGAATGAATTATAAATTAATCAAGTCTTATTGTAGCATTTTCTTTGTGGAATAAGCTTCTGGTAACTCTGTTGACATTGATTCAATGCAAAAGACCACATTAATGCAACATTATAGCTGAGACTTCATATTTTTAAAAATCTGGAAAGTAAGGACTCCCCAAGCTCCTTATATTTTGAATTACTATACATGACATTAAAATTTTGCATTATTATATCTGTTGATGGATGACTACATTACAGTTGCTGTGGGAACCACAAAATTATATGTCTCAATCCTCTAAAGTCTCAGTGATAATACTGCATAAATGGATATTTTTTATTGAATTTTGAAATGAGAAGGGGGAGAAGGAAAAACCGTGATGCACATCAAAATATTTTTCACTGAGGAGCACTATAACAGCACAATGGAAAAAATACATACTCCATTCTAACTTGTGACAGCTAATCCAGGTCCTGTGAAAAAATATTTTCTCCTCTTATGATTAATAGATATTTTAAATTCTCATAAATTTAATTTATTGAGTTTGGCTATAAATAAGACTAATAACAAGGAAAATTTTATTTCCTTCCAGTTTTATTTCTCAAATTTTGAGAAATATTTATTTCTCAAATCTTTAATACTCACTTTTAGTCAAAATTATTAGGAATTTATAAATTGGTTTCAATTCCAAAAATCTGAGATTTTAGTTATATTTTTGTTTATTAACTGCCTTCTTACCAAGACGCCATTAGCATAGCTTAAAGCGTCTTTGGTTTTGAGGTCAGTTAGCGTAAAGCTGGCCCTAAACTAAAGCTATCACTCCCATGCCCTAACTTGAAGGGGTCCCTAAATATCTCACTGACTTCACAATATTCACTGATTCAGGTGCTAGATACCTTGAGTGCATAAAATCCCTCAATTAGAAATTATTTTGTGTTGAGTATTGCTCTCTCTCAACAATCTCACATATCCTTGGCTTACAAGAAATAACACTTTAACAGTCACTAACACTTTAGTATGAAATAGCTGACTATATCATTTTCTTTCAAGAATGGAAACTTAAGGTTAGGAGTAAGTGGTTGAAAGGAACAAAAATTTAACTTGGAATGAGACACCCTGAAAAAGGAGGAAGCATGTATAAAGAAGAGGTGGGGTTAGAGTTGCCAAAACCATAATTTCTATTGGTACAATTTTGCCTGGGCCTGTCTTTCATAGAATGGCAATCACCCATCAACTGCTTCCATATCTTTGTAGTTGCATGTGGCATATGATCACTTTAAAACCTTTACTGCAAGAAAAATATTTATTATAGATAACCTTATCTCAGAATTGGAACCCCCAGAAACTAGCACAGTGCCTGGCTCATACTAGGTGCTCAATAAATATTTGTTAAATGAATAAACCACAAAGTTCAGTTAATTACATGTTTGCTGAACTACTTTTTTTTTTTTTTTTTTTTTTTAACCATCAAAGCTAGTACTGATGAGAACCTTATTTTCTTTTTCTTCATCTCCAGGATGACAAGGAAATTGACCTGGAGCACCTCCATAGACGTGTAAATAGCTTGTGCACAGATGACGACAGCCCCCATAAACAGTTTTCCACCTCGTCAATTGATTTGACCCCTCTGGACATTGACACTTTGCCAACACGACAAGCACTGGAGCAAATCAGTGATTTCAGGAACACTCATATTACCACAACAACCTTTATCCCAGAGCAGATCCAGACTCTTAGCCGCACACTGTCAGCTAAAGCTGCTTCTGGTTTCACTTTTGGCAACGTGCCTGAGCACCGAACTGGCCCTTTTAGGCACAGGGCACCTAATGGGGGCTTTTTCAGGAGTCCTATAAAAACAATGTCATCTATTCCTTATCAACCAACTCCTACCCTGGGGCTCAATCTGGGTAATGATCCAGACCGAGGCACCTCCATATGAGCATCAAACAGATCTCTTCACTGTTTCTTTTTTAGGACTCCCTTTGCAAGGAGCAACTGTAATATTGTGGGACTAACATGGATGTAACGTTAAAAAAAAGATCAGGATTATTAGTAACAATTCTAGTATTTTCCTCCCACCTTCTCCCTCTCCTCTCTCCTCTATTATTTTCTCTCTTTTCCCCTCCCTTCCTGTACATTTTCCTCCACTTTTTTTCATTACTCAACTTGTTCCCCAAGAAGGTAGTGTACTAGGATCCTATTAGTCTGCTTTTCATATACTGTACATCAAGTATAGGAAATGTGCACTGAGTATACTAAAAGTATATGCAGGATTAATTTTACATAAAGGCCTCTTCTGTAACATTTCTCTATTTTTAGAAATACAATTGCAATAACTTCAGTCTTTTTACATTCTTCTGCTGCATCCATACAATGCTCCACTGCTGTTGAGTGTCCTTTAACTGTGGACCAAAGGCAACCCCTGCAGTGTTTATAAAACAATTTAAAGACCATTCAGGCCACATAAGATGAGAATGCAATTTTGTAGGATTACAAAAAAGCCATTAATATGCCAGTCAAGACTACAGTTAAAACTACTCTTGCACTGCAACAGTGCATATGACCTTTATGTGATTGTACAGTATTAAAAGTTTTTTCTTATGTACAGTAAACTTTATCATATGGCAGAAGCCTCTATTGTGTTAAATAAATTAGTATTTCATATATATACATATATATGCACCTATATAATGTGTATATATATAAAAAAAGGCGGCCATTGCTATTGCAATTCATTTAATAAAGCTTTAGTTTAAACAAAAGTATTGTATACAGGAACTATGTATAGTGCAGGGGTTCTTTTCAGTTAGAAAAGGCAGGTTGCTTTAATGTTATTCTGACTCGCATTGTTTGCCAACGGAAAATATTTTATACTTTTGTTATTAAAGCATCCAGGGCAATTTAATATTTGTTCCTAGATGTAACTCATTTGAATAGGTTTCGCATTTGTTATTCAGCAGTGTATAAAGCTAACCTTGATAATTTTACTTTTAATTAATTATCTAAATGAAAAATGCTATTAGCTGAACCACATCCACAACAGCACATAGAGCTCTAGGAGAGTTGAAACATAGATCATTGAAGGTTAATAATCCTCTTCCAAAGCAGCAAGTCAATCAATACAATTATGATGTTTGGGGAGGGGTGGGAGCCCTTAAGAACTATTGATGTGGCCTTAAATTACTGTCATTTATTATCCTAAAGAAGAAAACATAATAACCATAATGGGCTCTCAACTCAACCCCCTTTTTTATTTAGTTCTATTTGGAGGAGTTATGTATTTTTTACATTAGTGCCAAGTATATAGAAGGATGACAGCAAAAACGGTGCCTCTTTGTGCACAACCCTTTTAAAGTAGCTTTCTTACTTGTTAGAAATGTAGGATGAACTTTGTTTGTAATCCTTAAATTAAAATGTGGTAAGTAGGAAACAAGAACTTATTCTGTGTTTTTACGCAGCCATACACTTACTTTAATCTAATTCATTCTGTGGCTAGGATTGATATAGGAATCAACCTATGTGATTTGCTTTAGGAGAAATTAAAAGGTATATTCTTAAGATATATTATATTTTGATGCTAATTCTGTTCTGGGGAGCATCTTGTATTGTCACTGTTTTGTACTAAATCTTCAAATATTGTCTACTGTGTAAGGCAGAAAAATTTCTCATCATGCAAAAACCATTTTGTTTCCAGGGTAACAAGTACCTAAGTGCATGCACAACTTGTTTTCCCTTGTAACATTCATGATCTCATTTACAACTCTGATTTTAAAACAAAAAAATCTTTACAACAAGCTATATAGGGACATACCAGATGTTGCAGTGATTTTAGCTATCAACAAACTGTTAACCATGTACAA